TCAAGTATAATTAGTCGTATTTTACAATTTTAAACTTCCAAACCATCAAACTCAATTTTGCGGTTTGCGTAAATACCAGCCAGCGGTTTTCTTGCTGGGAAATTACTACTGGCAAAAATTGTTCCTGCAGAAATTATTCACTTCCCTTCAAAATAAAATGTCACTTTGTTGTCTTTTGCGTACGCGAACGCCAAAAGCTGATAATTTTTGATAACAATCAATAATTATCAGGTATGCGAATGCAACTATAATAAGATATGAGCAACTGTTTTTATTAGCGAATTGCGGGGAATAAGCAACAAATTAACAAATTGTTCTGGTTTTGGGTTCACCTAATTTTTTGTGGGGTTTTCTCTTTGAGAGCGCAGGTTGTAAAATTCTGATAAGTTACTGGATAACTTTTATTGTACATATATATCTCGTAACAGAGCGTCATGTAAAATAGGTAATAATACCTCTATTATAGCGAAAAGATCGATGTTTCAAATAAGTTTGGTTTTAAATGTGTACGAGAATTTTGAAAAAATTTACAAAATGGCACCTTGCTGAATATGCAAATAAAGAAGCAATTAAAAAAAGAACATTTTTCAAGACAATCTCTTATTAGTGGTTAATAAAAATATATACAGTGACTCAAACAAATGGCCACGGGTTGGTTTTTTCAGTATTCGGAATGTTTTTCAAGCTAATTTGTTTTTGTTATTTTTCTATAAAAACACCGTCCAATCTTAAACCAAAAACATATAAATTAATGGTTCAAACTTTATACAAAATTTAGGAAAAGTCAACAAATTATAATCAAAATTTCAACTTTAGAACAATTTTGTGTATGCAGTTTTATAGCTCATTCAATTTTAGTCAAATGAAGTGCAAGTTTCAAACGGCTTAAAAATCCCGTTGATTTTTTGAGGAATTTTTTTTTGTGATGGTTTTTTGCAATTTTTTTCTATATAAACATGAATTTCTTATGAAATAAAATACAGGAGACCGTTAGCAAAAAAATTTTAAAAAAATCAGCGCCAATTTTTGGAAATTGCACTTGTTATTTAAAAAAAACCACAAAAGCAATCTTCAAAAAAAATAATAATTCTCAAAAATCAGATTTTTTAGCCGGTTGAAACTTGCACTTAATTAGACTAAAATTGTATGGGCTATAAAATTTGTTGGCATTCCTTAATTTTGTATAAAGTTTGAAACTATGATT